GGCACCGCTACAACAGACGGTGCTCATGCGGAATCTGGACGGCTACTTCGCCCTTTGGTCACGTGGAAGAGAAACACTGGAAGAGTTTCTGAAGCTTGTAAACCAGATTGATGGGAAAATTCAATTCACGATGGAAGTAGAGGAAGGTGAGCGGTTACGTGAGTGTGGATTTCTGGGACGAGAAGTTGGACAAATTGACGAGGATATTGCTCAACAATGGCTACCCAATCAAAGTGATACAAATAAACATGCGGTCCGTGAAAAGCCGATGGCAGAACGGGGACTATGAGAGAAAAGTAAAGACGATGAAGGATTCACAAAAGTGGATATGCCTACCTTCTTGCGAACTAACTCAAAAACTACGGCCAATATTGAAGAAATGGAACATTCGGGTGGCAATGAAGGAAAAAATAAAACTTTTCAAAAGTCTACCGACGCAAAATGAAAGGGTAGACAAATTGGATTGTTCAGGAGTTTACTGCATATCATGCGGAGGCTGCGATGAGAAATAAATTGGCGAAACAGGAAGAAAAATTAGCACACGAATAAAGGAACATCAGAGGCTCTGCAAAAAAATGGATACCGAAAGATGAGAACTAGCGGAACACATCGCACGGACTGGACACGAGATCAATTAGAAGACAACAGAAAGGAAAGCTCCATACGGTGAGAACACAAGAAAGCGGAAGATTATGGAAGCCATTATCATATTTGGGGAAAATAATCTAATGAACAGGAGATTGGAAGAAGTTAGAGTTAGCGATAACTTTGCCTACTCCTTAAGCAAACTCGGGGAAATCAAAAATGGAGCAAGATCATCAAAAAGGAGGCGCCTGGATCAAGGATCTAGCGCTAACCGGAGGAGAAGGGATCGCGATGAAGAAAGTGGCGGGCAAGGGTTTTTGGCAATAAAGCACAGACATTGTCAGTGAGCGATGTCTATTTCGAATAAACCAGTACAACTTTGGGGGCCTGGCAGTCAGGGAGCTGGGCCGACGGATAAGCAAACCGTTACGGAAATTCCGCGTTATGGCCAAAATGTACCATAAATCCACTTGAGATGCCGCATGCAACCGGAGATAGGCTTCCACAGTTTGCTCAGATAACATGGGTTTAATCAAGTAAACGACCCGTGAAGTGAAGGCCCGAGATCTACAAGCATGGGAATCACAGTCTAGGCGCTCTGTTCGGTTAGGCGGCAGTGTACGTGCTTCTAGGGCCTTGACAAATGACGCCAAGAGTGAAATGCACACAGGGACTGTAAGCGAGTGAAATCGGTCAACCAGAAAGACAAGCAACGGATCTACGAGACAATGAAAGGATCCGGATTATAGGCCCGAGTCGGATCAGCCGATCGAAAAAGAGGGGTCGGGGTAAATGGCAAGTGTGATGAGACGAAACTATATTTGCAACAAAAGGGCACACATTTTGACGAGTGGAATGTAAACAAATGAGAAGTTGTGATGTGGCGGCAGTGGGATAAAAGGGTAAAGAGTAGATAGATAGACAATACCAGTCGATGATGATGATGCCGATTACAATGTCGACGAAACGTTTGAGAAGGTACCAATTCCACTGTCTGCTGCTGGGAATCATGACAGCTACTATAGCAGACAACTTCGGTCTAAGTGCGTTCTACTAAGTCGCCCTGACAACAAGACCAAGTTGCGACGACGAGGTCAACCCACTTCTATAAAT